CCCGCTCTCCTCCGACCGACCGCCCAGACTGGGTCCAGAGTATCAGTCTGGCAGGCAGGCGAACGGCATTCCCGTCCCCAATGGATTTCCTAAGCCTGACGAGCCTCCAGAGCTGAATCGCCAGAGCCCCAACCCGCGCAGGAATAGCACGGCTCCTCCGAATCTAGTGCCTTTGGTTAACGGAAACATGCCCCCGGTGCACGCCGTCAACGGTAGACCGGGCCAGATGGGGCTTCCCTCCGCACTGGCGGGCGGTAGTCCCGCCGATCTGGGCAAGAGACCCGCCTCGGTGTCCAGCACTGAGCACGACAGAGAGGTAAAGGAGAAGCACAGACCGGACAGTCTCACGCCGGAGATCTCCGAGAGCCACAAAAACAGGGCAGACCAGGACTGGATGGGCAAGGGCAAAACGGTGAGGGACCTGATGGCTCTGCACACGTTCGACAACAGGTTCAAGAAGGACCATGCGGCCATGCAACAAAGGGTTATGGGCTATGAGACCAGCGCCACGGCTTCCAAGTCAGGTGAGCATCCAGTAGTGTTTACCCTCAGGGATATTTTCTCCAATTTGCATTTGTGTGTGACTTTTAGTAACTCACTGAAGCTCAGGAATCGGTTAATAATGAACAAAGGATAAATATAGTATCCTGTCAGCAAAATCCAAGTTGCATAAATACATTTGTACTTATTTGCTGTGTTTGTTATTGTTTTGTACCCTGTGGTGCAGCTTGGAGCAGCAAAAATGCATGTCTCCATTGCAGTGTAATTGTTGATCATTGTCTGAGCTGTGCAGTCAACTGTTTTGTTTAACCCTTTCCCACCTCCAGACAGAGGAAAACACCCCCGGAACATGAAGAGAAAAGCGTCGCCTGAACCAGAGGGCGAGGGGACAGCTGCCAAGCTCAATGGAGAAGGACAGCAGTGGTTACCACCACCTACTGACGGACTGAAAATGCCTCCAGTTCCCCCGCCAAGCTTCGCCTCTCCCCCCTCCACAATATCACCCCACTCCCGCACCACCCCACCTGAGGCAGCCCAGAATGGCCAGTCCCCTATGGCGGCACTCATCATGGCAGCAGACAATGCAGGTGGGAACAGCTCTCCTAAGGACGCTAACCAAGTCCACTCCACCACCCGGAGGAACAGCAGCAGCCCCCTGTCGCCGTCCTCCATGAATCAGAGGAGGCTGGCACAGAGAGAGGCGTCTGGTGCAGGTACCCCCCACGTGCCAGGCATGGACCAAGTGCACCCCCAAAGCATTCCGGACTCCTCGGTACCCGGCAGCATACCCCTGTGCTGCACGCTGTGCCATGAGCGTTTAGAGGACACACACTTTGTTCAGTGCCCGTCTGTGCCCTCTCACAAGTTCTGCTTCCCGTGCTCGAGGGAAAGCATAAAGCAGCAAGGTGCCACGGGTGAAGTGTACTGTCCGAGTGGAGAGAAATGTCCCCTGGTTGGCTCGAACGTACCATGGGCTTTCATGCAAGGAGAAATCGCCACCATCCTTGCAGGAGATGTCAAAGTAAAAAAGGAGAGGGACCCTTGATTTTGTTTGAACACTTCTTTGGGGAGGGGAAGCAAAAATATGAGTATAAATATATAAATATCACATACATACCATTCAAACAAAATAACGGACTTGTACATATTGGACCCAAGGGAAGAGTATACTTCGTAAACATGGTTGTATAATTTTTGATTTTTGAATACATTGTGTTTCTATATTTTTGAAGATAAAGGTATGTACTCATTATAATGGACTACGTTCCTCTTTGTTGATGTTTAACAAAATTCTTGATGTACTTCTAGGTCTGGTGGCAGTTCCTGTTTAACGTAGAATGTGACTAATGCTACTCTACGAGCACTTGGCAAAACTGAAATGCTTTTAGCTGTACTTGTATGCACTTGTTTAAAAATTGCCAAATACAATTTCTGATCTTGTATGAACTTATTGTCTGAGCTTGCTTCATTTGAGTGATCAAGTTACACCAGGACTGTGGACAGATGATGAGATAGGGCTCTGTGTTCTGATACGCAGGCTTGTTGTGACGGCTCAGGAGACTTGATTTACGCTGCACAACATAAGTAGGCTACTGTTTCACGCTGCAGGACGGCAGCTTTTCTGTACACATGCCTTTCATGATTCATGGGAAAGCATGGCCAGGGGAAAAAATAAGAGGCACATTGTCCCAAATTTGCTCCAGTTTTGTGCATCACTGTAACTTGACTGCAGCGTACAGAAATGGGTGCCAAGTCATGTTCAGTCAGCTGGAATCTGTTGAGTCAGTAATGTGAGAAAGTGCATGATTGTCAACATGATACCATAGTGTAACCACGTTGTGTAACCACAAATTAGGATGTTTGCTGAAATTAACCACTCTGAATAACATTCTTACCTTTTTATAAAGGCAAAACGCATTTTCAAGCTGGTGTGCAAATGACATTATAGAGGCTTTTATTTTCAAATAATTGTGCTTTTGATTCACTAAGCAGTTGACAAATTGAAAATTATGAATAAAATCGGCATAACAAACTACCTCCAAGCATGACTTGGGTACACTAGCACTGCAGCAGCAAGCCTTTACTTTCAATTTTAGCATTTTGTGTGGTACATTGTGCCACACTGATGTACACTATCAATGATACCACTACATTCTTCCACATGCTTAGAACAGATTTCTGCCTCAGTGTGCAATGTGTGCTCTTTCAGAGTAAACAATAACGCTGTTGCTGCCTTACATACCAAGCTCGCTCTGCTTCCCTTCAGATGCAAATTTAATTGTTGCAGATTCATGGCAGCACGCCCATAAAAAAAACAGAAATTCTGTCTCCGTAATGGCAAGTAGGCAGCCAGACTCATCTCTGCAAGCAATGAGGGGTTTAAGGGGGTCGTTCAGTAACAAACTGCAGCTACTGTGTCTACGGAAGAGAAGCAATCTTGAGAGAGTGTTTTTGCTTCCTTAGACAAAGAAATGTCGCTGACACTGCACCAAGCTAACACTGACATGGAGAGTGATATCTAGTAGAGAGGTGGACTTGGTGTAGAAGGCCGTTGCGTAATTATCTGCATAATCTGCTTCCTGCTAATGTTTTATCGAGCTGTCAGTGCAAGCCCCCCCTCCCCAAAAAAATTAAATGCCCACAGACGGCTTTTGCGTGGTTGGTTTAGTATGCTTTAGTTCACTTGGTGCCCTTAAATCTGGAGATTTATTGACCTCACTCCACTGACAGATGTGTTTTAAATGCATTTTGGTAGCCACCTCAACATCTTAACAGGGATTACCCACTTTTTAATAAGCTGTATGGTGTCCTGACTAACTGATTGAATCTTAATGTTGAATGAAAACATAGCCTTTGCACCCCACTGACTAAGAAGGGCATGGACAATTATTGTCCCCTAATTGAGAGCACTAAAAGGCAGCCGTGGACAAAATGAACTCTCAACAAAACATTTAGAGCACAGCTTTTACAGTGTGATTTGAGGCTGAATAGGTTTGACCGATAGAACCCTGTTTATCATGGGTACGGCATTTTGAAGACAGCTGTTTGTTTGTATAGTGCTCTTCCGTTCCTTGGAAAGTTATCTTATCAGTTGGACTTTAAATGCAGCCCAGTTTGATAAAGAGTAACACGTAACTCTGCTCACCAACATCACACCCACTCCATACGCCAGTTTACATACTGTTCTCAGGGATCTTTTTTTTTAGCCTGCACTTTGACCTACTTGTTCCTTATGACCATGTACTTGCAGCCAAGTTGAGTTGGGCCAATCTGAGAATATCAAAGACAAAAGCCAGTCTGTATGTAACCTGGCATGAAGTATGATGCATAGACAAACAAATGAACATTTCTCTCTCACTCTCTCTCCCTGTAAAGATTTATTACCGCAGAGCCAATACCTGTTTGTTCAGTGCTGACTAAAATAGCCTGTGTTGTATCTAATACAGTGATAATGTGTCCCTGGAAGTGGCTCTGTCACAACACAATGCCCTGGTGTTGCATAGTTACCAGTGAAATCGGTGCACAGCAGATGCTCCGCTGCAACATGTCGATTCATATGAATTAGGGAACCTTATGGAGAGATTTCAGTAAACAACCAGCATGTGAAGACAAGGTCACACAGAGTTGATGGCATAAAGTTCAGCATTAATTATTATCATTATATATAATTTTTTGTTTATACTACTCAAGTGAGACATCTCTTCTGTTTTCAGTATAATCATGCAGGAGCCATTTGTGGTTAATGACTCACAGGCTTTCATTTTGTTTACTTATAAGAACCTTCAGGGCTTTTTAATGTTTAAGCTCCTGCTTATGAGACAAACATTGTTTGACTTTGATGTGCTCTTACCCTGGAACCTTTTTATGGGAAACCTAGTGAGATATGTCGTCTGAGGCTGAGCCAGGTGAACCTCGGGCAAAGATTAAATTAGATTCCTCCTCCTTCCGCTGCCTTGTGATAGTAGCTTTTGTCTAAAGCTACGGTACAGTTTAGCTCACAGTCATGTAGTTTGCAGGATTAGATCCAAGTATTTGATGCTCCAGCTGTGAAATATCTCCCCAACCCAGACATCCTTTACCAGTGTGCTGCAACACATAGCCTAATCAATGGTCATAAAATCCCTCATTGGCTGTTTGATTGATTTACTCGACACAGTCTTATTAATCAAGCTAAGTGAAAGGCAATAACAGACAGGTGACGCAGAGAGTCTGTTGCCTCCCTCGCCTTTCCTTTTTAATGGTTAACTAAACTGTAGGCTGCTATGCAGTGTTGCACAAAGATGTTGACGTGAGAGTGAAGCCATAACTGGGTTGGTCAGAGTTCATATTTGTTGTTCTTTGAGCATGCGGGGTATTTTTCTGGCACTTCCCTGTTGAGATAAGCATGTGTTTGATGTTTCTGCTTCAATTACACTGCCTTAATATTGATAAGGTGACAAAATACTCCAGTAGCCTATAAATAATTACATTTATGGACATTCATTGAGTTAGAAAGAGCAGTTAACACTAATGCTGGCCTCATATACGTTGAAGGACACCATACATTCTAAGCCTAAAAGGCATTTATTTTTGTATTAAAAAAGTCTAAATATGGTACAGTGGGTGGGTGGAGAGAGGAAAGGCCTGCGTGGGAGACAGTGAAGCACTCAATGTAGCCAACTGTTTCACTAATGATTCTATGTTTAGCACAATAAATCAAAAGGCATGCTCGTGCTGCTGTAATCCCCTGAAAGCGAGTGGAGACAGGGACGCGCCAAAAGGAGAATCTGGTCCACATTTCTCCGCTCCCAGTATAACTGATCTGCTTGGGTAATTTTAGACCTGTCAGGGAAAACAAGGTCACAGCAAATGTTGTATCGAGGACACACTCGGATCTGCTTCTTTTTTTCCTTTTCATCAATCAAAGTTTCCCTTTGGAGTTGGGCTTGGACTCCTGTGAGACTAGTAATGACGGTTTCTCGTCTCGGCACCGGGGGGAGAAGCTGGAGCTCCAACCAGCAATTAGGAGGAGCACGGCTGAATCCGCAGGATGTGTAAAAATTCCCTTCTGATTCTTGGCTTGGTCCATAGAGGGGGGTTTACATCTGACTGGTCTGGCCTGTTTACTGTGAAGGCATGCAAAGTTAAGATGATTACAATGCTGAATGCCAAATTTGTGTTCTCTCAGACTGGTAAGAGACCCAATTACTGCAAAAGGCCTACGAATCGCGTGGTGTTTTTCTGTGCTGGAGTTCAATGAGTTTTAATGATTTTTTGTAGAGCTATTTTCTATGTAGATTGTCAGCTAGAAAGAAAAACAAACAGAATGCATATTTTCTCTTTGCTTTTAAGATATTTTGGTAACACTCCTTTCCCCCTCACATTGTCCTTTATGTTTTCCTCTGCATTTCTTTACACACACCTTCATCATACTTTTTGAACCTAATTTTAATTTTTTTCTTGCTAAGATCTGTGTCTTATATTTTTTCCCCCCATCCTTCCTTTTCGTTCTGACTGGCGGTTATGCTCCCACTCTCGATATTCCTGTGTTCCTTCATTCTGCTGTGGTGTTGCTGTGAATCAAGTCTGTGAAATGGAAATGAGGACTCTGTCGCTCTCTCTCTCTCTCACTCTCAGCCTCCCTCTCTTTCCAGACATCAAAACGAGGCTATGCCTCCAATGTTTTTCTCAGATCTTGGAGTGCTGCCAAGTCTTATAAGTGGAGCAGAGAGAGAGAGAGAGGTGGAGGAAGAGAGCGAGCAGAATGCAGAGGAAGGAGAGGGGGCGCTGGATAAAAAGATGAAAGGAGAGAGGATGAAAAATGAACAAGGGAAAGAGGCGATGTGAGAGATGAGGACAAAGCATGGGACTGATCCAAGAGCATTTGGGCCTTTTCTCATATTATAGCCGAGCCCAGCACAATCCCTCCTTTTTCTGCTGAGCAACTACTCCTAGCTTCTGGCTCAGGATCAGCTGATAAGATGGCGCGCTGCTACTATGCCAAATGAAAAATAGGAGGCGAGGGAGGGGAATGTTATCTCCAGCAATCGTGAATATTTGATACTTAACAATATGATTGTTAAAGATAAGGGGCTCTAAATGTACTCAAAATGTGTAATGTAAAAAAAATCCAGTGGATTTGAACAGCTATAGAGATTCAATGGGTTTAACAGAAGTCATGACGTCCCTGTTTCTCTGGCTGAACTCTAACTTCCAGACATATATTTTGGGCCTCTGGGAGGGGCATGCCAGTCACAGTAGTAAGATGCTTGTTGCCACCTCTGACATGTGGAGCTAAATTTAGATTTAGCTGTCAATATGAGCTGCGCTAAAAGTAAACGTGTGAGCAGCTAGCACAGTTTTGCTCTAGGAAAATCCTCATCCAGCTGCTCTGCTGTAGACTTGCAGTGCTTTGGCAAATAGCAAATGAACTACAGCTCATCAACATGCAGTGTGTATTCTGAAAGACAGTGAGACCAGACCTTTTCAAAAACACTGATGCAATCACAGTGATTGACTGTCTGCTGGTGTACTGCTCACAAAAGGGCTGTCTTTCTTTGCATGGCCAGTGAACAGGCTTTTGGCTGTGGTGTCAGCTTTGTGGTAGTTGTGGCTTGTGTGTGTGTAAAGGCATTAAGGGGGGTGGGGGTGTTGCAGGTGACTGTCTCCTCTGTCCCCCCCGAGGTGCTTGTTTAGTTAGCTGACAGCCTGGATTCAAATGGATGTGATGGCTTGTGAGAGGCCATCTGTGCACAGCCTTTTAAGCTGAATAACGACACAAAGCCAATGTACAGAAGCACAGAAAGTGCCTAAAATCAGATACATTGTGAAGCAGATCATAAAAATTATAACAGCTACAGTGATATGAGGTAGTATAATATTTTAGCTGACCATGTGAATGAAAACTGTCTTTGCTTTGCTGGTCTGCATCTGTGAAGGGCCTGATGAGGGGATGGGCTGGTGGGCTGATGAATGGCTCAGTTTCTGGGGTGTGTCAGCAGATCTGTGGTGTGATGTATTATGGGATGCTCATTTCCTCCTGTCCCTGTCTGTTCTTCGCTCGCTCGCTCCTCTGTAGGGCCTCGGCCACAGGCGATTATTGCCAGTTCAAGCTGGGACACAGCGTTCAGTGTCTGCATGCGACAAAATCAGCTGCCTCCACCACAACCACACAATTAAACTTTCACCATCACTTTGCCAAACAACAAAGCACCACAAAAAATGTCTGAGACAACTTTTATGTGCTGCATAAATCCAGGATTCTTGAGAGATCCTCAGCGTATTGTATGCTGCCTTTCATCTCCTTGAAGGTATACAGTTGTCAGAAGATAAGAACAACTCTTAGATTTTCTGTCACTTTAGATTTTTATCCGGGAATACGACGGGTGTACATGCCCACACACACACATACCCAGATGCACACTAATACCCATCCACAACCTCGCTGTAGTTTCTTTGTATGTTACGTAACTGTGAGTGGGAGCTATTTCTCTTCTGAGTGCTAATGTTGTTGTCAATCAAGGCTTTATAGTGGCAGCTAGTGCACAATCTCTGCAGAGGGAGAATAAAGCTTTTATCGCCTTTGTTCGCTCTCCCTTGCCAGTCAAAATGTTCTATTCTCTTGCTTTTACCTCCACCTCTTGTTCCTCCCTCTCTTTGTGTCTACATTTGTTGGAAATCATTTTCTCGAGAAGTGTTTACGTTGTCTCCCAGCCATGGAACATTTGAGTTGGAGTTAAGGAGCGAGAGGAGGTCAGGTGAACAGAGAGAACAAGCAGGGCCTGTGTTTGACAGGTGTGTGCTATTATTGGAGCCGGCGACTTTGAGTGCATTACACAACTGTGTCGCTCGGACAGGTTTATTTAGACCGCTAGCAGAGCCTTCGGAGTATCTGATAACTCGGGCAGAGCATGTCACAACAGGTGTCGGGGGGGGGATAATGGTACAGTAAGTAAGAGACGGGTTTTTATAGCTCAAGGTTGATCTCAAATTTGGAGTGCTTGGAGAAAGCATTCCTGAATTGAATTCTGTGGTGCTAGCACAAAGGCGATCCAGTTGGTTGGATCCAAAAAAAGCACACTTGTATTTAGCCATCATCAAATAAAGTATGCTAATGACAGGTTGTGCTTGATATACTGTATACATGTCTACTGCTCTGTAATGATATAATCACAGAGCAGAAACAGCAGCCGCTCCCCTCCCTTGTCTTCCTCTTTGGCTGGAATGTGCAGGGGGAGAAAAATGATCCAATGTCATCCGGAGTGATGGAAGCTTCTCTGTTGAGCCAGGGGGGCGGATATTTCTGGTTGAGAGTGAGTTTGAGTAAGTCCGGGCACCAAGCCAAGCATGCCGATGGAGGGGAAGGGAGGGGCGGTAGGGTTTTGTGGAGAGAAAGAAGGGAGATAGAAACCCTTTTGGGCTGGCGCACTGTCAGCTTCACTAGCACACAGCTGCTTCTGGAAAATTCTGCACCCTGCCCTACTAAACCACCAGGCATGACATGAATAACAAGAATGGCCTAGCCGTCAACAGCGGATACTTTTTCTTTTGACGTGGGCCTATCAGACTGGTACAAATGCCCTGGCCTTGCACATAGTGGAAAAATCAACAATGAGGGGGACACCGGGGCACAATGTGGAAATGAAATCCTGGGTTTAGGAGGCTTTGTCTGGACAAGGACGCAGTTGACACAGACCCTAAGGGCTTTGGAAAAGGCTGTGCAACAAAATGCCAACTGATGTGTTTTCATGGGGTTACTTGTTCACTAGCCAGTCACTAATTAGACAGTAAGAACCCACTAAATTGCTTTCAGTCAGCATAGAGCATTTCCTTTCCAAGCTGCATGTGTCATGCCCTCGTGTGAAGACAGAGGCAGCAAAGCAAATCCGGCGGTTGAAAAGTACTAGCTGGCACGTCTTGCTATGTTTCTAACATGACCAGTCAACACTTGTCCCGCGTCTAAGTACAGGCTTACCAGCAATGTGTGAGTGTTGCCCTGCAGATGAGATAATGCTAGCTCCTATCCGTCCATGAGGTTGTTAGCCATGCACAACCCTCCCTGGTGTTGACATTTCCCTGCCCAACCTGTCTGAACACATAGGGGCATGGAGGCTCCTCTCAGGCTGTCTGTATTCATGGCTGATAAAGGGGTGAGTCACCCGCTCATCTATTCTCCTCTCGTCCTTCTCTGCCTGGCAATACTCTTACCCTTAACCCCCATCATCCTCGCCCACAAGGCCTTATGTGTACATCCAGCACATGGTGGATTGTATGAATAGCAGCGACCGCGTGGCTCGCCTCTGACACCTGACATTTTCATGCCCCAGCAAGCTGCTGATACATTTGGCGCTTGGCACGCATTCCTCTCCCGGGTTTATCCATCTGTTGATGTAGAGCCCAACCCCCCAGCCGCTACTATGTTCTTGTAACATAACACGAGGCTTGCCTTTCCCTCTATTCATCTTAACATGCGAGCACTGCATGGCACAGACGACGCCCCTCCCTCCTCCATGTTTTTCTCTGGCTCTTATTCGCATTCCCTCCCCATCGTGCTGTCTTTCTTTCCCTCAAACACACACACACACACACACACACTACACAATCCATCCAAGTTATTAGTCTTCAGATTGGCATTCAGCTGGTCTCAGAAACCCACCAAGATGGAGAACAAAAAAGTGAGATGGGAATTGCGTGAAGCTGGAGTGATAGTACTGGCAAAAGACAGAATGTGAGATTGTGTGCAGGCAGGGGGCTTCCTGGCTGCCTGCCGACTTCCAGCAGCAGCACTGCAGCATGTCAATATGCCCGTTTCCAGGGAAACAAGGAGAGCACACACAGCAACAGTCCAAAGAAACCTTGTCCATCGTTACACCCTTTTCTTTCGAATTTAAAATGCTCAATACAAATGTACTGCTCCAGAGAGGAGCATTACCAAGAGAGTTCACATGACTCTCCTGATTCAAACCTCCCTCTCCACCTGTACTAACATTGCTTTAAAAAGAAAACTTAATAATGTCTTTGGTAGAATAAATAAATGTAAATGTACATTTCTTATTTAAACATGGGTATTTTTTATTAGCAAATATGTCCTTGTTGGGCTTTGCAGGGTGTGAATCTATGTGTCCTCACTGCACATGTTATCTGGTTGGTGATTTTACCCTGCAGCAAACAGCTTGGCCGTGAGTTATTACTGGCAGGGGTATACTCCTCCATCAGGCATTGTGAAAGAATGACCTCAGATACATCAGGCAGAGCGGTGGCTCTGTTGCAAAGTCACAACTTTCGCAACATAAGTCATGCGTTTTAGTCTGTTGAGCCACAAAATGCCACAGCAACCTAATCAGTCTCAAGCTGTGACCTTGATCGGTGCGGCTTTCTCTCTATCCTTTTGTGCAACACTATAACGTTTTTCATTTAATAGTGATAAAGTAAAAAAAAACAAAAAACAGTATATCTCAGTGTTTCCTTTGTGCTGTGATATAATCTGTCACTCTAGAACAGCCTGTATTGCACCTGTCCTTTGCAACATACATTGTCTTAAGTGACCTCAGCAAGAAATAGCTACCTGTTTTATCTCTGCTCTTATCTCTGTCTGTAGTGGCTTTTTATTATTTGGCCATGATTTGCTAATAAATTAATGAATACAAAATGAATGAAACTGTGTATCTTGTGGCCATATGTTGTAAAAATGTAAATATGTTTGAACATAAGCCTTTAAATGCCACTAATTAACTTACAATTTAATATTCAGATGATAGCTTGATTACGATACAATGAAGGCAAATTTGTTTTCATATGTAAATATTACAGTGGCTTTTTATTTTGGGTGAATATTTGTGTGTAGCTGAAGGACAGCTAAAGGACAACGCTGTCAGCCACACCTAGCCTGGCACTCTTATCCAAGTCTGGCTCCGTCTGTGCTCGTATCACTGGAGGGGAAAGGGGGTGTGCCAACTACAGCACCTTAGTACTTTTCAGAAGTATCTGTGCCTGTGAGTGGTCTAACAGCTGCTGCTGCAGTGTCTGAGCTTGCTTGGGGATGCAGATGAAAGTGCTGATGTGTCCTCTTATTTTGGATTGTTTGGTGCCCTGGAGGCCTAGGAATTTTTAGAGGAGACCGGGCAAGATATTTGGGGGGGGGGTCGGGGGTTTGGGGGTAGGGCAATGCCCAGAAGGGATCTTGAGAGTTTCTCCCAGAATGCAATGTGACCCTCATTGCCACATGGCGCTGTGGGATTCCGGGGGGGGGGGGTTAATTGCTGACAGTACGAGGCTGAGCGATGGGCACAGACATGAGCACAAAGATGGATGTCTCAGATGATTGGCGGTATTTCTGGCTGTCTTTTGTACTTGAAGGGAGGGGCTGCTGATGGCCTGTCATGCTCCAAGTTTTTCACATTGTTTGAAATGACCCTTTATCTTGAGTTTCAAAGCCTTTCTTGACACTGAAAACAAAACATAACACCTCAAATGCCATTTAGTAGTCAACTTAGGACATGATCTTCATCAGCACATGTCTGAACTTTGAAACTGACCTTTAAGCCAACATGGAGGGGAAGCCTAAACACAAACTTAAGACCAAAATTTCCATGACAGCCAGACACACTTCTGATGAAAATCATGGGATATGCTCAAAAGCTCCAGACAGCTTCTTAACAGCGACTTGATGGACCTGGAAGTGAGATTGTTTTGTCAACAACATTTTATTATAAATATTAATATTTGTGTGCTGATATACTCTATTATGTCACAGTAATGCTAGAAGCACTAGAATCCTGTGCAACCTTTTAAGAGTTCAATCACATTGGCGTTACTGTAATTGGTCACTTACTGTAAAAATCAGAGCTTTAGCACCATATAAAGACTACAGATGTGCTCTCCTGTTTTTGGAGGTAAATGGAGGTCAATGGGAATCAAGAGCTAGAGGTCAAGAAGTGAGAGGAAGAGGAGGACGAGGAGGACGAGGACGTTACCTCAGATCAGATCAGCTTTAGAAAACCCTTAGTCTTACTGAATGTTTCTCTAAAATACTGCATTTTGTAACATTACATTATTTTAACAATCTTTTACAACTGGCATAAACCTAAGATTAATGTGTTTTGTGTTGAGCACATCACTTTGTTGTTTGGTACAAAGATCTATTCATATGATGGCGTTTGTGTCATTTTAATGCAAAAAAAAAGATAAAATTCAGGAAGAGATCAAACAGTTTTGAATGCAGTGCTTGCTTTTGCTAGAGTTTTGCATTTTGTGTATGTGGTTTTGTGTTTTGAGAAAATGAGCCAAAGATTCAGAAAAGGAGAGTAAGCAATTGTGAAAAACTCAAATAGTACTGCAATTTTTCTTACTGCTTACTACTCAAGAGATTCAGAAGAGCTTTATTGACATTGTCTCAGACAACATAATTCATATTCCATCTCCAATCTGGTGTCATTCAGAGATAAAAAAAAATATATATATAAGAACTGACAATATAAAAATGCCGAATTTGCTTTGGTGGTAATCCTGAATAGATTCGACAGACATGATGCAACTTAATTCCTGGTTAATTAGGAAAGTTAAAACCATTTTCCATTGTGCACCAAACCCTTGGAATTAAAAGAGCCCAGTGGAGTTTTCTTGTAAACAAACAAAAGTTATGTTTACATTCAGTGTTACTCATCACTGGTGTGTATCCGTAAGCTCTCACAAACATGTTGAGTGCATTTTCTTCCTCATACCACACTGGCAATAGTGATTTAAAAAAATATATCCACTCATAGAAAAACAGTGCTACTAGAGGTCTAAAACTCCACAGGGAACCTTTAATAATTCAGGGTATTATAAAGTATGTATTTCTTCACAGGGGCTATCGTTTTTCTCTTAGCAGTTTTAATTTTAAAGCAAAACTGTTCCCGGCCAACAGTGAGCACCGCCTCTGTCCTTCTGGCTCCTCTACTTGTTTCTGTCAATAAACTATCCTTGAGAAATGTCATGCTGCTCTTATTCTCTCCTTACATTTCTCAATGACTGTTAATATTCAACACAGGAATTCTTTAATATAGTACATCACTGTAGTGCTGTTGTTGTTACAGTCTGTATTACTGACTTGAATTTTAACTGACTCTATCTAATGTAACTTACATTGCATCTGTTAGAAGCATGGCTGCATAACAGCAGCTGCTACATGCCTGAAATGTTAATGTCATCATGCTAACATTAACTCTCTCTGCAGGCTGTTAGTGTTATCATAGATCTTTGCACAGACATACAGCTATTTCCATGCAACTTGCACGTGGTAGTAATATTATGGCCTGTTTGGAAAAAGATGCCATGTCATTTACTTAATTACACGTCCCCCCTGCAGCTTATGCCTTCAAAACGTCTTGATTTATTTGGTTACAGTTTACCGAAAATGTCCAGGATCCAGGATTCCCAGTGTCTTCTCGTTTTGTACTTCATCAGAGAAGCCTTGTCCGTGTACAGTATGACACTATATTAATTACTCACCATAAATCATTTTCCCTCACATTTTCATGCTTCGTCTAACATTGCAATTTGCATCTTGTTCCCCTCATAACAGTGCACACTTCAGTAAAGAGGCCGGAGAGGGAAGACTGGTGAAGGCAACAGCTTCATTGTCATGTTGTCCTCAGAGGAGTTCGACAATAACCTTAGAAGGATGGACAACTGTGCTGACTCACTTAAGTTGTTATCCGTGACATCTGGGACATTAAAGAGGCAGTTACGCCGGGTTGAAAATGAAAGTCATGATGCAAATTTCGGCTTCTAACCTAAATGCCAGAGTCCCATGCCATTATTTCCACAGCAGGCCTGTAAGTGATGTATTGATCAATGTTTTGATTTATTTTTTTCCCAATAAAATGCATTAATGAGTCCTGTTGAATTATTTTGTAGTAGCTTTGAGAGAGAAAATCAATATCTCTCTTTTATAGAGCATCCTTGATCCATATGTAAGGAGTGATGTGATTCTTTTTGTGTTGAATAGGACCTGTGTGTGCGTGTGCATTAAGCACATAATGAATGTGATTTTAGCAAACCTCAGCCTAATATTCTCCTTCAATCAGCTGACGAAGCTTCCAGTGGCAATTCTCTGGTTACAATATTGCTTATTATATTATGTGTCAACACTGATTCAATTCTTTGGAGATCTGAATCATGTGGCCGTGTTTAGACAAAGGCCCGAATCAGACTGCTTTGTTATTTTAGCTGCCCATGTGATCAGCACTCAACACCAAAGGACCACTCACAGCCGCACCCCCACCACCCTCCAATCCTCTGTAGAGCGACACAGAGAGAGTCTGTTACCAGAGAAACAAAGGTCAGTGTACTGTGTCGTCACATTTTCAACTCACAGGACGAATCTTGAAAGAGAAAAAGGGGTCACAAACAAATATCCCTTGTTTCCACGAAAACAAGACGGCGTTTGTTGTTGCGCTCTGGGCTGTGATGTCATCGTCATGGTTCATCCTCGCTGTGACCTCTGGGCTGATGATTCTCAAATAGCTTCATCAGGAGGCGTGCATCAATTAGAGCATTGATTTTGTTTCATACGCTCCCCCTCGCACAAACACAAACATGCATGTATTCATCTAATATCACAAAAATAGATAGTGAGTTGCTCTCTGAATCTGGTCTTTTTCTCAGTGGGAAGCTGTGCTACATAGACTCTCTGCTTGCTGGAGCTGCACAAAACCCCATGATCTGCGCTAAATTGTCTGAGTGCCATCATCATCTGAGACAGAAGACAGGCTGAGAGACGTAAAAATGATTACATTACAAGAAAGCACTTTGGCATTTTACAGTTAACTCTTAAGAAAGCTGTGAACTCCTAATGCTGCTGACCTTTGAAGATCTAAGTGACGTAATCATCATGATATATGTGCCAGGCTTTGGCCATGGGCTGCTCTGAATGTTCTACTCCCCGAAGGCCTAGCAGGTTAAATGGGCCAAAGCAGCCCTCATCAATACACCCCCAAGCAATACTTTGGATCACCTCAACTGGTGCAATTAATCTTGGCCTTGTAACAAGTTGACAGGCCTTTATCCAAACAACAAACAAAACAGGCACTTTACTGCCTGATGACGAGGGCAAGGGCCAGATATTAATTTGGCTGTAGCTCCGCAGTTATCATCCTAATAAGTGAGGGCGCACACTGCATTTACCTGAGATTAAAAATTCAACTGCATTGTGATCAAAGTGGGATAACTCTGCTTAGCTTGCTATACCAGAAGATGAGGTGGAATGCTTTGGAAAATGTATGCATTTTCACCTCCTCCTGCAAAGCACTTTAATGTGATTTATACTGGAAAAGATGTAGTTTTATTTAGTTGACCTTATTACCACGCTAGTCAGGTTTAATTTAAATAACACACAAGGATAAAGCTACCTGAAAGATGGATGTAACGTTCATGGTATAAAGCTCACATTTCTTTTCTTAAAAGATTAGTTGGACATTTTGGGAAATATGCTTATTCGTTTTCTTTCCAGGAGTTAGACGAGTAGATCGATATGCTCTCGACTCTATAGTCAGGAAACGCTTAGCTTAGCTTAACATAAAGGCTAAAAGCAGGGAGAAACAGCTTGCCTGTCTTTAGGCGCTTTTCGACCAAAAGTACCAGAAGTACAGACCTATTTTCAAGGAACTAAAAGGTTCCTTTAGGCCACTGTTGTGTGCGTTTCCACCGTGGTCTAAAGACCTGCGAAGATTAGGCAAATGAACCAGCGGACGGAGGCTGTATGCCTGGCTGTACACAGTGATGCACAGGCATATTATTTGTAACCACTAGGCCTATCCATGAGCAACATTTATAAAAGAACATCAGATTTGACTGGAATATAATGAAAAACTATAGGCTTACTTGACCATTAAAGCAGCTTTTTTGTGTGGAAGTATTATGAAGAGACACATGATAAAGTCCGTTACACATTTAATAACAAACTGGATAAAGCCATAAAGTTCTTAAAATAACTCCAGCACAGAGAAAGCAACACAAAAATAAAATCGCGACAGTTGGGAGGTTTATTAAAACATTTCCATCCGACAAAAGCCGCAGATCAGCTGCAGCAGGCCTGCGTTGGAAGAACGGGATGTTTAACGAGCTTTAATTACCTGCTGTAATCAGCTGTTCCGCTTGTTTCGGGGGGAGGAGACCGACTTCGGCTCCATGTAGAAACTTCCTTGCTGATGAAAACTTAAAACAACAACTTCGGACCCAGTATTTAGCATAACTCCATCAGCTGTTCACTGTAAACACACTGCTGCAGCTGGCTGCTATTTTCCAGCTATACATTTAATGCCGACATGCGATCTCAGGTGGACATCGGCAAGACTTGTGTGGATAACAAACTGGATAAAACCATCAAGTTCTTAAAATAACTCCAGCACAGAGAAATAAATAAAAATAAAATTGCGACAGTTTGGAAGGTTATTAAAACATTTCCAGCTGCAGGACTCACGTCTGTCGGAGGAAGGTGATGTTTAAGGAGCTTAATTACCTGCTGTAATCAGCTGTTCCGCTTGTTTTGGAGAGGAAGAGACTGATTTCGGCTCTGTGTAAAAACCTCCTAACTGATCAAAACTTAAAACAACAACTTAGGACCCAGTATTTAGCGTTAACACACCGCTGTACGCTGGCTGCTGTTTCCAATATATTTAATGCCAACATACGATCTCAGGCGAGACTTGTGTGACTTGACTGTTGATTTTGATTTATTGGTTTGCAAACAATGGTGGAAAAGAGAGGAGCAGTCTTAGAAAAACAGCCAAGATTCTCCAGTTGAAGCCAGTAGCCTCTACTCGCCCATTCAGAACTGCAAGGCAAGCCCCGCCCCCCGCAGCTTTTGTCTAAAGGTAAAAAAAAAAGTCTGGAAACGCCTCTAAAGTTTACTAATTAACATGTATCTCGTTGTTTAATTCATACAAAAAAAACAAGTAGCTGTTTTACAGGGTGTCATGTGTATTTCTTTGCCAGGAGCAGGGACCAGGCTAGCTGTTTCCCCTGCTTTATTTATGTTAAGGTATGCTAACCGTCAACTGGCCTTATATTTAATCAATTACACATTTATTTGTCAAATAAATCTTGCACACAACCACAGCACAACTGCTTGAATTTATTACATTAGTAAGATAACTCACTATCTAGTTAGCTAGCAAGCTTAGCTCACTGAACTTGTGACATAGACAAAAAATGGGGAAAGACATTCTTTATGGTCAACCTATTATTCAATCTTTCACATGACCTGCCTGACTATTTTGCAGCTTAACTCAAAGTGTACTACAGTAAAAAGGAAATAAGTAGAAATATTGTATCTGATATGTCCCTAAAAGCTTTACTTCACCATGTGTCTGGCAAAGTCTAGCCACGTCAGCCGAAGTGTTGCATGAAGTAGGCTGTGCCATTTTAAGTAACCCTTCCAGTTTTATGTAAATTAGATTTTAAAATTAGTTCCCACACGGAGCTGCAGTCTGACTGGAGGACCGTCCATGACCTGCTTTGTCACAATACACAAAATAATGCAAGGGAGGTTAAGAAGTATTCATTAATTGTGCGTTGTTCCCTAGATTCATGCTATGTCTTTAACTCATTTAAATGTGATTTGCTGTAATAGGTGCCACGTCTTGTGCATAATCAGCTGAGTAAACCATGATTCAAGGGATTACATACTCTCTATATTTCATGAGACTTCTTTGGTGTTGCCTCATTCTTGTGAATGTTGACAGAAGGTGGGTATGAGGAATGCAGCTGTGAGTCAGCACAGGAGAACGGCAGCTAAAGTCAGTTTGAGGGCGAGGTCAGATTATACAAAGCGATTGAAAGAAAGAGTTAACGTCATCATGGTCTGGTAAATTCCTAATGGGTAACTCAAGTCAGTTTTTATTGTGAGTGAAACTTTTCTTGGGGCCCGTTGGCTTCTGTCATGTAGCTGTGTTCTCCGTGCCGTGTTAATTTGTTGAATGTGCCCATGTGTAATAAATTGTAAACAGGTGAGAAATAATAGCTTTCATGGGCATTAAGAGAGCGTAATAATATCCCCACAAGCAGTCTGATGGCCTTTATTATGTAAAAAATCTAAAAAATAAAATCAAAACCAGAGAACATGAAATGTTGTCGTGGTTGTCTGATTTTCTGCGTCACTATTTATTTCTGTTAGAGCTCTCCAATAGGCAATATTGTTATCATTTTATATTTGCCCTGTTACTGCAAACCAGTGTTATTTTTTACAAGACAATCCCAACTCAAGGTCCACTTACTAGGGCTAACAATTTGCATTGATTAATCTGCTGATTTATCTTCCTTTCTTTAGAACTCAAAACAGGTACTGAGAGACCTTTCTGTATGGTTCAAAGGTCTGGAAAGGACTTGTAGGTTGACCCTTAGCTGGAATTGTTTTGTCAAACTGCTATTTCCAAACTCAAGAATGAACTTCTATGTTTAACTGTGGTATTGTGCTGTAGTTGTGAGTAAAAGTAATGAATTTGACCTCTTTTTATTCCAATTTAAACATATATATTTTTATTTTATTTTCCTAAGCTTATGATTTAATTTTAATAATCTATTTAAGCTTGTTGATGTGGCTTTAGTTACATCTAGTTAAGAATTAATCCTTGAATCCTTTGCAGTGTACTCGTACACTCATATTGTGCATATATATTGTGAAATATAGGCCATACTGCAATAATATAGGCTTGTTCTCTCATTAAAATCTATAAACAGGCTTTATGTTATGCCTATACTCTAAACATGGGGTGTCTGCAATTGTGTATCTGTAAAATAAAAATAAAACAAGTGCTTTTCTCCTACTTCAGTTTTAACCCTATTAGCTCTTGTCTTTTAAAGATGTTACTATGCTGTTTGGTTAAGCGAAGTGTTGTGAT